CGTGTGATAGTCTCAGTGAAAATGTGCACCAGGCCTCAGGTGTACAGGTCTAGAGACTGGCCTGCAATCATCTGGCAACCACCAGTCATGAGGGACTCCCTGACAACCCCTGTTGCTACAAAAAAATGTGTTTTCCCCAACCAGCTGGCAAAAACCTCCTTCAGAGGTTCAGTCTTGGACACTAGCATATTGCTACCACTGTGGTTGATCAGAAAGTTCTAGATCAACAATCAAGTACAAGCAGTAGGTTACTTAGAGGCGTGGTGTGACAAGTTTCATAAATTTATTTTTGTTTTTGGCAGCCTTTTACCTCCTTACCATCAGAATGAAAACAGAACCCTACAATTTTAGAAGACTCTGCTTAACCTTCCAATTATTTGATTACCACTCAATCGAAAAGGATATTTAATCAAATGTACATTTGTGTTACACTACATGTCTGTACTGTGTTAACTTTAAAGAAATGGAAATACCAAGATGGTGGATGTGTTAGTGATTCAAGTTGATGTTATACTAATTTTATGCTTTGCACAGCTTTTAGGAGTGCTGTTTGGTTTGATTCTTAATTGTAATTATTTGATGTACAGAAAAAGAAATCATCCATCCACTGATCCACCTGACCCCATCCATCCACCAAATCAAGTGTCAGAGAGAAATCTTTTGGAACAACCTTCTAAAACCCGTGTTTACATGTGCACACCATCAGATGTTCTGTGAGCTTATGTAACCACCTTCAGTCTGATTTATTTTTTAAATAATGCTTGTTACAAGGATTTAAAGAATGACTGGACTTACCAGTTCCTGCAGTTGCCATCATGTGATCTGCACCTCTAAAAACATTTAAAAAATGACTTATTAATAACATAATTAGCTAGTTTTAAAACAACACAAGGGAACTTTTACTTATGTCAGTGTTCTGTCCTCTAACTTTTCATGCTCGTGCCCCTACGCCATTTCCGCGTCAAATCCGCATTTATCTGAACTCAAACTAAACCTGGAGTCACAAAGACTTCCTAAAATCAGGAGTTCAGTGAGATAGAGAAGCTTATTTCTGTCTCTTAGTTTAACGAAGCTGTTTGCAGCACATTTACTGTTTTATCAGCAAAAATGACTTGAACACAAACTCACCCGACACTCTTCGGTCATGCGACTAATTTGTCCTCTCGTGCGGCCAGTAATCAATTATTATTAAAATCAGTCCATATAGCCAACGCACCGACTGCATCCAGCTTCCCTCTATATATTTCTTTTTCGTTTTAAAACGTTCAGCTTGATTTGATTCGACGGCGGAATTTATTCTGCGCCACCAACGCCAACGAAAGTCAAAGTATTCAACTGACCAGGGGTGCATTCCAATCTGCTTCGGAAGGCTCCTACTGGGAGACGTGACGCGGAAGTATCTGCGTGGTGGCCACAGTAGGGGCTGCTCCAATTCTCCAAACACTGAGGAAAGGAGCTTCGATGCTTCCTTTATTGCTTCCTTTAGCGTAGGACACACTGGACCATCCTTTATGAAAAGGGAGGAGAAATGCCGTCCCATAATTCATAGCGACGGATCATCCGACTATTTATGAAAACCATGGACATCAGTTGCCCAGATCATGGAAATGTTCATTGTAACTGCATTTTCTGTTTCACCCATAAGCTGCTGATATATTTATATTTTTTAACAACAGTCTGTTGAACTCTCAGCTGGACTCTGAATATCACACTGCAGAATAAAAACTACTTTTTGCTGAAGCAGGCAGAACACTATATAAGCTCAAGATTGTAATCTATATTAACTAAAAAGAAGTATGTTTATTGTTCTGTATGATCAGTGTTCATTAGTAATGTCCTTTACTTTAGGATTTTACTTTAGTCCAGGTCAACTGGAATAGGTGATGGAAATTTTACTGCAGTCACAGAAATCCTAAACAAAAAGGAAAGAAAGGAGCTACACAGCAGGTAAACATAAGAAAATAAGATGTGTTTAATTTTACAAGCCTTGGGACAGATTTTTTATTTTATTATTATTTTTATTTTATTAATCCTTTATTTATTCAGGTAAAAATCTAATTGAGATTAAAAATCTTATTTCTAAGAGAGACCTGACATCATGGCAGCATAAGTCAAAAACACATGCATCACATAACAACATAACAATTAAAACAAATACAATATTCTGTAGATCTCACAGATTTACTAAGTAGGGCCAAATATTGTGATGTCACATTGGAAAGATGATCAACTAACAATATGCTGTAATTTATATACAAAGACGCAGCAAAAACTTCAGTTAAAAACAGCATTTGGAACAAATTAGCGGCTCAAAAATGTGAGTTTTTCTGTGAAAACAGTGCAACAGTTCAGATAAATGAGAGGAGACTGAAGAAGAATTACTATGCTTTTGATATAAGAAATAACTGTGCAAAAGGTTCTGAGAATTAGGACTGCAAATTTATCCAGAGGGGAAATGCATCGGCACAAAGAAAGCCGGAAAAAAAGAAGCTAATTTCTGTTCATTTCCAGTCTGTTTCATGAAAACCTGTTTTCCTTGACCTTAACGAAAATGTCATCAAGGTCAAGGAAAAGAGCTCACTCTCAGAAAAATTATGGTTCTTAAATTGTTCTTCAGATGTCTTCATGGTTCTTTAAAGAACCATCATACATCAAAGAACCTTTTTATTTTGTAGATGGTTCTTCAGCTATTACAAATGGTTCTTTAAAGAACAAAAGGTCCTTCATCCTTAGCAATCTAAGTTTGATGGTGTAAAATGACATAAATATTTATTCACTATAATGAGGCTGTGAATTATACTGTGTGTTTTGCTTGTGTGCATGTGTGTGCGAAGGGGGAGGGCGGGTTACCTGGTGATTACCCTTTAAGAGAAGATGGCAGGAAACTGAATATTCAAATAAAAGTTAGAAATACTTAAAAATATACTGGTGGAAGGGGTGGGGGCCAAAGCCTAAAGACCCTACCCACCCACACCCCCAACCCCGCAAACCCATTGATCACAAATAATGTGTTGATAGAATATTTAATTTATTATTAAGATGTTAATGATTATGGTGAGTTAACAAACAGTAGACACAATACACACATTCAAATACTGTACTTAAGTTTTAAATTTTAATAAAGCATTACTATTTTCTGCTTCAAGGCATTACTTTTGAGATTATTATATATATTAGAAAATATAGCATAATGATAATACTAGTTATTGTAAACTTTACAAACCACCCAGCAGTATGTAAAGTCAAATTATAAAATGCAAGATAACATTTAATTTTATTAAATAAAATTTGTTTTTGCTACAGTTGATGAGGATTTCATTTATTCAGTAACTGTAGAGTAAACATTAATTACTAATTAATTTATCAAAAGTATCTTTACTGGATGCAAATATTTATCGGTAAAGTTAAGACATGACTGAGCTTACATAGAGCTTATTCATGTTGGAAAAGTGAGCCACTATGAATGAATCCAAAATGGATCAAAGAAGGATGAGCTGGTTCATCACTGAGTCCAGATATGATCAGGACTCAGTGCGCACGAAGGCTCAGATCGGACTTAGTTTGTGTTTCTGTTCAGAGCCTGTGGATCTGATCCAGAGTCACTTTGCTATCAACAGGAAACAGAACAACAAACACGAAATCATTTTTTTATCCAACAAAACCTCAAAGTGATGGAAGAGTAAAGCTTCGTCACCAGAGAAGAAATCGCTGAGTCAGGGATTTTCATACAAACTTCAGTTTAAAGTTTATTTACAATTTTTAGATCATGAAAGTGAATTTTTTTTTCCAAATCAAATCCTTTTTGAAACAATCTGCTGCCATTTCCAGGTTTGTGAATCAGGTTTTTGTGATGTTGACTATATTGCAGCATTTTTGAACTGTAATCATAAAGCATCGTTTTGCTTGATGAAATGTCCTAAAGGCTGATAAACTTGTTTCCTGACTGGTTCAGAGCTTCACATGGATTCAATTGTACATGAAAAGAACGAGAGATATTCATTTATTAATTATATAATAATTAATTATTATAATAATTAAGAAGAAACTCACAAAAGTGCTGAATATTTTAATGGAGGAAACAGAGATTTTGAACATTGCTGATAAAAAGACTTCACATGATCACATCACTGAACCATAACTCTTATATTTCTGAAGTCAAAACAGAAAAACAGCAGTGTTGAATATGAAAATAACAAAAACCTTATATTAGAGCTTCTTACTGGTAATTCTCTAAACAGATTTCATGTCTTGACTTTGAAGTTCATTTTAATAATGCTTCAAAATAACTGTTTAAGAAATGCAGACGTGGCTGCTGAGCGGTGAGACTTTCTTTTAGAAGATGTTAGTAAAGTGTGTTTCTGTAAAACTGGATGTTAGATTTGTTTCATTCTTGAGTCTGACTGGTTTGTCGTATTTAGAGTTTGAGTTTGGATGATCAGCAGACTGAACAGCTGTTTCTGCGTCTCTCGGATGAATCCTTGATTTCTTCATATTTCCTCTTCAGGTCGTTCAGCTCTTCTTCTTTTTCTCGTTGGCTCTTTTCGTGTTGTTCCTTCACAGCTTTTAGTTCCTCATCATGTTTTTTTGTCAGGGCTTCGAGTTCACTGGTATATTTATTATTTAATCTTTCAGCTTGTTTTCTGACCTTCTCTCCATATTTCTTCTTTATGTCATGAATCATTCTTTTTAATTCTGTTTTCTCCTTCTCCTCCTGCTCTCTTCTCCTTTCAGCTTTTTTTCTTTTCTTTTCATATTTTTCTCTTTCTTCTTCATACGCTTCCCAAAGCTTTTTAAGTTTTTCTTGCTCGATCTCACATTTCTGTTCATCTTGCAGGCGTCGTTTTTCCCACCATTCATTTTGCTTCCACTCAAATTCTTCCTCCCATTCTTTTTCATTCTCTGGTTCTTCAAACAGCTCCAGAGTTAAAGATGGTTTGATGTGTTCAGATCTCTTCATTAAACAGAAATCCTTCACTTCATCAAATCCATCACAGCTCAGATGCTCTCCGTTGTTCTCTGTTATAATTTGATCCAAGAGTGTTAACAGGCCTGAAAGTTCAGATTTCTCCTGTAACAGGTATCTGTCTCCACACAAGCTCCTCATCTCTCTCACAGCTGGATACTGCTCTATGGTACCTGAGGCCTCCTCTTTGGATGTTGATATCAGAATCAATGAATGATCAAATGATCGATCACTGAACAGTTTAAGGACTCTGCAGAGCCTCTGTTTGTGCTCCTCAGTGAAGTCTTCAGGCTGCAGAACCAGCAGGAACACATGAGGTCCAGGATCAGAGAGCCTCACACACGTTTCTACATGTTCCTTCACTTTGTCCTCAGAGACGTCTGGAAGCAGCAGGTCTGGAGTGTTGATCAGAACTATTTCTTTGTCTTCCAGTTGTCCTCTGACAGATGAACAGCAGTTTGGTTCTTCCTCAGTTCTGAACTTGGTCTGTCCCAGGATGGCGTTCCCAACATTTCTCCTCAAAGAGCAGCTGTTCCCCAGCAGAACAACCCTCAGCTCAGACACTACAAAGATGCAGAGGGCAACTTACAAATATTCATCTTTAGTTCAGCACCCATTACATTCAGGGGTTTAAGTTTCTTCCACAGCACATCTGTAGAATAACAGAATACAGCAAAATATGATCTTAAACTGCAGAACTGGTCTGACTCACTGTGTGTTGGCAGGAAATTTATCCTGTTCTTGCACCTGCGTTTCAGAGGCGGCTGATCATCTGTGATAAGAAAGATTTTCTTAAAAACTATACACAACATTAATTTAATAGTTTACATGTAACCTGCACTGTGCCGGCTTACACGTGCTGTTGTTTCTGAATAAACATGAAAACTGATGAAAAACTGAAAACGCTCAAAAACAAACAGCAACATCTCGACACAGGCAGCACTTCATTGTGGTGCCATCTAAGAGTTGGAAGTGTCCTCACATGACGTCCCAAACACACCTTCACTGTATCCTTCCACTGCATCCCTGCCTGCTGTTTCAGCTCCTCCACCATCCCAGCATCCAGCTGTAATTCACTCATCATCCCCATGTGTATGTGTATCATACTCAACTACAAACTTTGATCATATTCAATTTAATTCAATTTTATTTATAAAGCACCAAATCACAACAACAGTCGCCTCAAAGCTTTATATTGTAAGGTAGACCCTACAATAATACATACAGAGAATCATATACGACTAAAATATATTTACTTGACCGTGGCTCAGGGGGTTGGGAAGCGTATCTGTAACCGGAAGGTTGCCGGTTCAATCCCCGGGCTCTCTGTCCTGGTCGTTGTGTCCTTGGGCAAGAC